ACTATGGGTTAGTGACTAAATGGTAAACTTTTAGAATTTGGTGATTAAAGTAGAAGAATGGATTAGTTCAATGATTTATCTGGAAATAAATCCTAAAAGATGTTAGTAATTATAAAAGGTATTAAAGGGCAAAATGGTCATTTGACCAAGAGATGAATTAAATAATGATATATATATATATATGGATAAAGATGAGAGATTTTCCAGAAATCTCTTATCTCTTTTCTTCTTCATCTTCTTCTTCCTCCCGTGAAAGCTCCAAGGCAAAGGTAAGATTCCTTGTTAGCTGATGATTTGTTGATTTTAAGAGTGGGTTTTGATCCTTAGGTAATACTTAAGATTATGGAAAGCTTAGGTTGTCCTAAAATCAAAAGATAAAGGAGATAGAGAAGATTAAAGATTAGTGGTTCTTGAATGAAATCTTGAAATAGAATTTATAATAAGAATTGAAAGTTGGATTTGACTTGTCATCAATCTAAGTAAGAGATATGAAGTAATATAATTGGATTTGAAACATGTTGCAAAATTGATGTAATTATTGAATTACATATGGAAGATAGGATTTTTAGGTTTAAGATGAAATAAATGAGTATTGATTGGTTTAAGTATGTGTACTAGAGTTAAGAATGAAAAAGGGGATGAAACATGAAGGATTTAAGACAAAATGAATGAATTTTCGGGTTCAAAAAGAGGATTCTGGGCAGAGTGCATCGATGCATCAAAGTTAAAACCCAGAAATTTGTTTGAAGGTGTATCGATGCACAGGTAGTGCATCGATGCACTCTTTTAAAATAGAAACATCGAATGGAATTAGTGCATCGATGCATAAGGCATGCATCGATGCATAAGGCATGCATCGATGCATAAGGCATGCATCGATGCATCCCAATAATAATACAACATCGAATGTATTTTATGCACCGATGCATTAGTAGTGCATCGATGCATACCCTTATTGAAAGAAGAAATTGGCATTTATCTTAATCTAAAGAGTGAACCATTAGAGTATATTAGTTATAATACTAATATAGATCTATGTATGATTATGTAGATATAGAACGTGATCCCGTTCTGAATCAATTGAAGGATTAGAATCGAATCAAAGCAAAGCTAAGGTGAGTGCACATTATTTAGTATATGATGTTAAATGGAAAATAAGACTTATGATAAGTCTATTTCCAATAGTAAAATGAATGAATTCATAGAGGTATTTGTTTGTTATAATTTATATGTGTGCACGAGTATATGTGTTATTGATATGATTCTATGATCATAGGATGTAAACTATGTGATAAGTGATAAGTGACTATATGAAATTATATGAGAACAAGAGATGACAATGATTTACATGTCATATGAAAACCAGAGAAGTGTTATAAGCAAAATGACATATATGTGATAAATGAATGATATGAAAAGTGAGATAAACAAAGTATGGTTGATATAGGGTAATATAAGAATAGCTCATAGGTTATATGATAAAGATGGAACCATATAGGAACATTAATTGAGTACTTGATAATAAGTCATAAGGTTATATGCATAGGTAATATAAGTTATAAGATGAGAATATATATGAATATCAAATAAGTTATGAGATAAGTTATATGACATTGATATATAGGCTAAACGAAAGTATACACTTGAATACATATATAAGTTTATATGTTATTTTATATGCTATGGGATATACCCATGAACATATGTGATGTGATATATGTTATGAGAAATGACCCATGTGACTAAGTGTGAACTGATATAAGTATGTGATATGAAGTTATGGGTATATGTGTCATATGTTATTATAGGTGATATGATATATATGAGTTTATGCGATATAAAAGTGTATATGTGAAATAACATGATAGGTGATAAAACTGTGAGCCTATATGATTATGTGTTATATGTTACATGATATGACATGCGAGTTACATGAACAAATGAGAAATGATATAAGTCATATGAAACGATCTACGTGAATACATGAACTTGTGATACATGTGATATGATATGAGATATATGGTTACACATACATGTGGTATGTGACAGAAGAGAAATAACAAGTGATATGAAATGTTATAAATGATAATGCCCATGTTATGTGATATGAGAGCTAAGGGTATAGTTGGCATGCCAAGAGTCGAGGGTATACCTATGTTCTACGGAACATATGGACAGAATTACCTATGTCTTTTGAGACATACGGACAGTATACCTATGTTCTACGGAACATATGGACAGAATTACCTATGTCTTTTGAGACATATGGACAGTATACCTATGTTCTAAGGAACATATGGACAGTTTACCTAGGTTCTTCGGAACCTATGGACAGTTGCCGAGGATCTTTATGACCTCTGGATAGGTCCTTCGGGACATTGATCGAGCTGTGGTGACAACATATGTGTGCACAACCTCAATGTACTCACATACCTTAAGTTCTCACTAGTGTATATGGGCTAATAAAGATATTAAACAAACATATTGAATGTGATATGTATATGATGGGTTTATAAATGGTTATCAAAAGTAAGTGGTTTGAAATGTGTTACATGAACCATATGATGTTATATGTGTTTCTTAATGATAATGATAGAGATTATGATAATGATGATATATGTTTATGTATGCTTTATGTTATATGAAATATTATATGTTTTATATGCCTCACTAAGTCATCGACTTAGCGTGTGATTGTTTCACACGTAGGTTTGGAAAGCGAAAAGAGAAGTAAAGAGGAACAAGACATGTCAGTTCTCCTTACCGAATGTCAGATCAGAAGAGAGGTGAATAATATGTATTTTTGTATATAAAGTTCTAGTTGGCATGTAATCAAAAGAATATATTGTATAAGCTCTGAATAGTTTTGTAAATGTTTTGAATAAGTTAAATGTTATAAAAGTTTTTAAAATTTCTCACTATTTTATACGAATAAATGTTTGAAAAGTCAATGTGATACTTCGGACTCGTATCCGGGTCGGATACGGGTTGGGGGTGTTACATGACTAGTGTACCAACCTACTTCATCGTGTCATCCGAAACGTAGACCAGTGATTAAGCAAAAATCCTCCCGCCCATAACAAATATACGCCGGTAGAAAATGAAACCATATCTCTTCATCACCACGTTGTATCCTCTCGGGTAGATCGTTAGTCATGGTCTGAAGAAACAAATGGGTCAACATAGCATCTCCACTTGGATGTTGTACTTTCAACCATGGCCCGAAACAAGTATTCTCAAACAAACTTCTTTGTACAAGTGTAAGTGTCGACGCAATTGTAGTGGCTAGGCTTAATTTATTCCTTAAAGTCAATGAAGCTGAAAAAAATTCCTAACAAAAACAATAAACATACCAAGTTAGATATACCAAAAACTACAAATTATACACTATAAACATACATGATATTAAACAGGGAAAATATAGCCAAATATGTTTCAAACTAGCACGGTATTCACCCAAGTCATTATTCTATCATAGTTCACAAAATGCATCAGATAACATTCCAGAAGTAAGCACTTATATAAACATTTAAAATGACAACATATAGGTTTAGTGCAGTTTCAAGGACAACATAAAGAGTAGTAGTTTATTCTTGAAACTTAAATTCGCAACACTGTGAAGTTAGTATTTGTCTTTGTTTTTTGGTTGAAGTAATGCAATTCATTCAAGTTTCAATTTGCAGAAGAAGAGTAGTTTTTGAAACTTAAATTCGCAACACGAAAATGAAATTCGCAACGCGAAAATCGTAACGCGAAAATGAAAATCGCAACGCGAAACTAAAACCGCATTGCGATTTTCGTGTTGCGAATTTCATTTTCGTATTGCGAATTTAAGTTTCAAAAACTATTCTTCTGCAAATTGAAACTTGAATGAATTGCATTACTTCAACCAAAAGACAAATACTAACTTCACAGGGTTAAAGACTAAACAGTTTAGCAGTATTGACATCAACCAAATGAATTTACTAAGCAATCTAAGTGAAATGGTTAATCTATATATTGAAATTACCAGTAAATTTATCATCAATTTAAATATGAAAAACTAATAATAATACAAAAATTTTAAAATAAAATAATTAAAAAAAATAACCATCGATGGTTGATTTTTCATTTGTGGCCGTGAATGGTTGTGAGAGGGTGGCTCTGAGAGATAGAGATGAGGGGGTCACCGGATATGGGGATGGATGTCGTCGGAGATGGAGACGGATGTCGCTGTAGAGAGTGAGAGATGGAAATAAGATTGAGTTGTGATTTAGGGTTTTAGGTTATGAGTTGTGATTATATTGTTTACATTTGTGTTGCGAAATTAATATTGTGTTTCGAATTCAAAAATAAAATTCACGTTGCGAAAATAAACGCGCTTTGCAAATTTGATTTCTGTGTTGCGAATTACAAATTCGCGTTGCGATTTACCGATTCGCGTTGCGAATTTGGAAAATCGCGTTGCGGAAAAGAAATTCGAGTTGCGAATTTCAAAACTGAGTTGTGAATTTGGAAACTGTGTTGCGAATTTGTTGGTCATTTTCGCAAATCCAAAAAACGTTGATTAAAATCGTATATTATAAGGTATTTTCGGTAATTGAAATTAATTTCTCTATTTATTTTGCTGTCTATTTCGGGTAGAATCTGTCTTAATCCTGAAAAGGCACTTTGTTGACCTTTCTGGTTTTATCGTAAATTCATTGCACCTCCTGCATTGAAAATTTCCTTTTTTCTTTCATGCGATTAAATAATCTTTGCAACCTTTAAATATAATAATTTGGTTTTGTTAAATCTTTGCTTGGAATGAATTAAGAATATAAATACTTGAAGATTGAAGAAATATCTTTCGAAATGATAATCAAGCACATAAACTATCAGATTATAAGCCACTTCAACATGTTTTTCTTAAATTTGATGATTATAAGAAATATATTGTTATTGAGCTTAAATATTTTCTTAAATGATGCATTGATTTGGACAATATCAAAGTTCGAGTTTCCAAAATTTTCTGGCGACAGTCAGAATGGAAAGTTCAGCTATGGCTATGCAAGCTCTCCAGGGAAGAGGTCTTCAATGGAATATTTTTACGAAACAAGGATTGTTGGAAATTCGTCACGATACGAATTTTTACTTGGCGGGAAAAAAATGTGGATAAAAAATTGATTTTGATTTAAAAAAATATTTTGGGAGTCGCCATTGATCTTTTTATATTAGGTAGATAAAATACCTAAAAATCATCTTTTAAAATAGTTTTTAAGAAAATATAATTTAAAAGATAAACTAATCTGCGTATAACAATTTTTTTTTTATAAAAAATGGATGTGTGGTCGATTACGTTTAGGGAATGATTAGCACCCCTATAACGCCCAAAATTGGTACTTATTAATTATAATTTGTCTCTATTATTCGGAATTTAAAATTTTGAAAATATATTTAATTCATAATTCTGTTATTTCAAATTTATTAATATAATTTTAAGAAAATATATTAATATATATATATTTTTTTTATTTTTATAAATAAGATATTTATTTACTTAGAAATATCAGAAAATAACTTCTAGGTGCTTTAAGACAGTCCATTTCTTAATATTAAAAATAAATAAATATTAAAATATGATTATTTTTCTTAAAAGTAATTTATATAAAATTAAATTTTTAAATAGGATTTTTATTTAATATATATATAAAATATAAAAATAAGTAAATAAATATTATTTTTTATATACGTTTATATGACTACATAATACTAACAATAATAATTAAATATACAAACATATAAAATATAAATAAAAAATGACTAAAATAAATAAAATTAAAAAGTAATAAAACTTGTAAAATAAATGAAAGTATTAAAATTAGTGATGAAAATGTAAAATATTTAAACTTAGTGCTCTAATTCAAAATATTATGAAATATAATAATTAACAATGTAATTTAACCATATATATTTATTCGGGATTAAAATAAAAATTAATTAAATTAAAGGGACTAAATCAAGTATTTATCCTAAATATTTACTAAATATTAACAGGGACAAAAATAAAATAAAAGGAAAATTACGAGACCAAATTAAAAGGTTCAGAATTCAATTTCAGTGACTAAATCATAAAGATCACAAATTTGGAACACTACAGACGAGGTTTTCCCAGGAGAGAAATTACACAGATACCTTCCCCAAAACGGCGTCGTTTGGGGAGGGGTTTAAATGCCCTTTTAACCGGCCCTTTAGGGCCAGATTTCTCATTTTATTTTTTTCTTCTCTCTAACAGAGAGAAACTCTCTGTTTTCTCTCTAAAAACTCCACCGGAGGGAGTTTGACGTCCGACCGACAGTCGTGTTCTGGCGTCGGCCACCGTTAATGGTGGTCAGAAATTACAAAATACTCCCAAATCAAAGCTCTGTTTACCCTAAAGCCCGATTTAAGGTTGTTTTAACCTAAAAGCTTACCAAACGCCGTAGATCTGGTATAGTTTCCTTCGACGTTTTGGTTCTCCGGTGGCTCGTGGAAGCTCCTCGATGGTAAGTTTCTTCTCTGTTTCTCCTCTCTCTCTCTTTTCTGTTTGCTGTTTTGGTTTCTCTTATTGCTGTGTTTTTTTTGGGTTGTTGTCCGTCCTTGTTCTCTGTTGTCTGTCTTTTTTTTTCTTTCGCAGGATCGGTGGCCTTTATAGGCCACCATGATACTGCTCTCGGACCGGTCACGAAAAGGGGCTCTTCGGTGAGTCACCAGACTATGGTGGTGACTCGCCATAGAGCTGCAACATGGAGGGGCAGCTGGCTTCGGGAATCTTCTGAAAAACATTGGCGTGGCACTGGAGCGTTGGCAAGGTGGCTGGAGGCAGAGGTGGCACCGCGTGGATGTTCTGGAAGCTTGGAGGCGGCGGCTGGGATATAAACATAGGGTTATGAAACCCTAGGGCTTCATTTGCTGGAACCATCTAGACCGTTGGATCTAAGTTAGATCCAACGGCTGAGAAGCAAGGCGGCGGCTGGCTGAGATATAAACCTTAATCGGGTTTAGGGTTTCTTATTGGGTTTGGGCCGGTCTGAGTTGGTCTCTTGTAACTGGGTCGGTCCAGTTTTGGGTATGTAATGTAAATAAATAATAATAATAATAATAATAATAATAATATAATTATAAAATAATAATAGTAATAAATAAAATAATAAAAAAATGAATGAAAAAATTAGTATCTTCAGCTACCCCCTCTTTACTTATTCTTGTGTTAACAAGAATAGGGCAAAGACGGAAAGATAATAAGTTTTTTATCCATTTGACTTCACTTGATTATGATGGCAATGTTGAACAAATTCTTCTTTGGGATTAGTTCTTCTCATTATGAACTTTTCCACTGGGGATGACAATTTATCTTCTTCTATGATGTAATCTAGCAAAAAGTTGAACAAATTCTTCTCATTATGAACTTCTTCTTATTTTTTAGATGAGTTTTTCTCATTATGAACTCCTTCTGGAAATGTTGATCCTTGAAAGAGATGTTGTTGATTCAACTTCATATATGATGAATTAAATTAAGGTTGAACAAGTTCATCTCATTATGAACTTCTTCTTCCTCTTCAGATGAGTTCTTCTCATTATGAACACTTCTGGAAATGTTGATTCTGATATACCTCATTCTGTGATAGAGTCATGCAAAAGGTTGAACAAGTTCTTCTCATTATGAACTTCTTCACCTCTTCAGATGAGTTCTTCTCATTATGAACTTTCTCTGGAAAAGTTGATCAATCGAGTGATGAATTCAAACAAAAGGTTGAAAAAATTCTTCTCATTATAAATTTCTTCTTCCTTCTTCAGATGAGTTCTTCTCATTATGAACTCTATCTGGCAATGCTGATCCATCAAGTGATGAATTCAAGCAAAAGGTTGAACAAGTTCTTCTCATTATGAACTTTTTCTTCCTTCTTCAGATAAGCTCTTCTCATTATGAACTCTACCTGGCAAATCTTTGAAATTCCTGTCAAATATTCAACATGGATAAAATGAATGAAAATTCCCCTATTTTTGCAAATGCCTAAATATGATGCATGAATGTTGAGTGTATTTTTTTACTTCAAAGTGGAAAACTTGGTCTTCATTCACTTGGTCAAAATGTCATTTCAAGCTGACATTTCTGATTTGGAAGAGAAATATTTGTGTCTTTTTTGTTTCATGAAAGTCTCATAAAAAATGTTTCATTCACAAAATTCTTGTTGATGTCATAATTATGGTCTTGTTACCCCATTTATCATGGATAACACCGGCTTTCTTTGCTTGGACTTGTGTAGAAATCCAATAAATCTTTCTTCCTTGAAAAGAGAATGTAACATCTTTGAAGAGAGAATCTATCATCTTTGAAAAGAGAATCTATCATCTTTGAAGAGTGTAGATATAGATATGCCTGACTCAGTAGGGATTAATTAGGAGATCAACGTCTGTTCTGATTTGACTCTTGAAACACATCATAAGGAGGATTTATCCTAATTCTTTTCATGTCTCCATATCTAATCAGATCTCGAACGAAGCCATTCAGACTATATTATGTCGAGATGCTAAACAACAACCTATCGTTCAACCTTGGTTGGCTCCACTAGTTTCTTGCTGTTAAAATTTCAGCTTCCTTCATAATCACTGGTTCGTAAAATATGTGACAATACATTCATCTTTTCTCGTGGCTTCTGCCCAAATTTATGGTCAAAGAAGCTCTTTGCACAGTGTTCAAAGCTTTTGTATGATATCACAAGACCCCTTGAGAACAAAACTCAGTGGGAATACAAGTGATATGTTGGTATGTTTCATGACCAAAATGTTGGTCAAATTCACAAAATATGCTAGTGCCAAATTGAATAAGAGATACTAACTGATCTTGATGTCATATCGGGCAAGGGTAATTGTGATATCGATCACGTTTTCTTCCGTAATGAGCATTGTAGGAAGTAGAAACATATCAGCTATAGGAGCCATGTGCAGAAGGAAATCCATGGAATTTTTACTGTTGTAGATGAAACGCACATGATAAACCAAATAGATGAAAACTCAGTTCACCCTGGCTGGCAATGATAACCCCAGTAACAACAGGAATAAGAATAACATAAGCTGAGCCTCTTTATTCAATGTTATCAAGTAAACAAAAACTGATGTGAAAAATAACTTCGTAACCTCAACAGTATGGTTGAAACTAACTGTCAGAAACCTCAAAGAAATATGTTCAATCACCACTGACACACAGAATACAAAATTCAAAGCCGAGATCTTGAGGAACTGAACCCTGGATCGAATGGTCTATATGGGGACCATCTTTATTCATGCAACCGTGATGTAGGTTAATAAAGAACATGTTGTTATGTGACACATGGTTAAGAAGATTGTGTATTTGAAACCATACTTGATAAGTGAATATTTGTTCAACAATAGGACCCTAATACAACTACCTGATGAACGAAGCAATTATGTATAGTCAGCTCGACTGCCATTGCTTCTCCATTTTCATTATTCATATCTTTCTATCTCATTGGAAATATTTGCTCAAGTCAATGATCTTTTTGCATAAGATGATATGGGACTTCAGCGTGCCCCAACATTGGCTAATACGAAATGTTCAAAATACATCATCGTTCCTGATTCTGATTGAAAGAGGCTTTCAGCATGCCCAAAATTGGCTTCTTGTTAATATGAGCCTTCAAAATGCCCCACATGGATCTGTCTGAAGTAACCTTTAAAATGCCCCACCATTTGCTGATACAGATGTTAAAAGTGTGCTCAATATTATTTCTTGCTGAGATGAGCCTCCAAGAATGCCCAAATATTCATATTGCTATGAGCCTTCAAAATGCCCTACCGTTCTATTTCTGGTTGAAATGAGCTTTCAAGATGTCCCACATGGATTTGTCTGAATTGTACCTTCAAAATGCCCCCAACCTTCTAAACTGTAAGGCTTACTTTCAATGTTTGTTTGATTTCAATATCATGATCCCCACGAGGTCTAATTTTGACAATGTACTGTTGTGGGTACTTGCAGCTTTATCCGTTCCTCAAACTTGTTTATCTTGAATACTCTCATTATAATGTCACTAAACAGCAGTTGTCAAGTAACTTAAGGAC